TCCGACCCCCACTCAAAGTTTATTTTCTGAAGCGTGGCCTGACTCTCTCGCCTCCCAGGTGAACGGTGTGGACATGAAGCTGCCCGTGGTGCTGGCCAACGGCCAGATCCGAGCCTCCCAGCATGGTTCAGACGTTGTGATTGAGACCGACTTCGGCCTGCGTGTGGCCTACGACCTTGTGTACTATGTGCGGGTCACCATCCCCGGAAACTACTACCAGCTGATGTGTGGCCTGTGTGGGAACTACAACGGCGACCCCAAGGATGACTTCCAGAAGCCCAACGGCTCACAGGCAGGCAACGCCAATGACTTCGGCAACTCCTGGGAGGAGTCGGTACCTGGCTCTCCCTGCCTGCCGCCGCCCACCTGCCCGCCAGGGAGCGAGGGCTGCGACACCAGCAAGTGTCCTCCCGAGCAGGAGAAGAAGTATCAGAAGGAGGAGTTCTGTGGGCTCCTCTCCAGCCCCACAGGGCCGCTGGCCTCCTGCCACAAGCTGGTGGATCCCCAGGGTCCCTTGCAAGATTGCGTCTTTGATCTCTGCCTGGGTGGTGGGAACCTGAGCATTCTCTGCAGCAACATCCATGCCTATGTGAGTGCTTGCCAGGCGGCTGGAGGCCATGTGAAGCCCTGGAGGACGGAAACTTTCTGTCGTGAGTGAGGGAGAGCCAGAGGGGCAGGGAGGGGAGATGTTGAAGCACAGAAGGGTAGACCCTGGGCCTTGCAGCCCCTCCCTCCCCAGGGCTCTGACGGGCACCCCTTCCTTGCAGCCATGAAGTGCCCAGCGAACAGCCACTACGAGCTCTGCGCGGACACCTGCTCCCTGGGCTGCGCGGCTCTCAGTGCCCCTCTGCAGTGCCCAGATGAGTGTGCTGAAGGCTGCCAGTGTGACGCCGGCTTCCTCTACAACGGTGAAGCCTGCGTGCCCATCCAGCAGTGCGGCTGCTACCACAATGGTGTCTACTATGAGGTAGGAACCTAGTCATCTGGGGCAGAATATGGGGCCTCACCCCTCCCACTCCTCATCAGCCCCACAGCCTACTTGGTCTCTTATTTATTCTTTTTGAGTCAGGGTCTCATTCTGTCACCCAGGCTGGAGTGCAGTGGTACGATCATAGCTCACTGCAGCCCCGAGTTCCTTGGCTCAAGCAATCCTTCACCTCACCTTCCAAGTACCTGGACTATAGGCGTGCACCACCAAGCCCAGCGAGTTTTTAATTTTCTTATGGAGACATAGACATGGGGGGGTCTCATTATGTTGCTCAGGCTGGTTGTGAACTCCAGGCCTCAAGCCATACTCCCGCCTTGGCCACCCAAAGTGCTGGGATTAATGGCATGAGCCACCAGGCCCGACCCACTCAGGCTCCTTTTTTTTTTTTTTGACACATAGTCTTGCTCTGTTGCCCAGGCTGGAGTGCAACTTCCGACTCTTGGGTTCAAGCTCACTGCAACCTCGGCATCCCAAGTTGAAGCAATTCTCTTGTCTCAGCCTCCTGAGTAGCTAGGAGAGCAGGCGTGTGCCACCACGCCCGGCTAATTTTTTGCTTTTCTGGTAGAGATGGGGTTTTCCCATATTGGCCAGGCTGCTCTCAAACTCCTGACTTCAAGTGATCCTCCTGCCTTGGCCTCCCAAAGTGCGAGCATTACAGGCATGAGCCACCACAGCTAGTCCATTCAGTCTCTTGAATGTCTCTTGTACCCACTCATTTCCCTGTCCCCATGGCCCTCCCTTGGTCCAGCTGGTCCTCTCCCACCTGGGTCCCTCCACGCTCCTACCTTTACTCCCTCTGGTCCACCCTCCACATGGCAGTGGTAAAATTCTTTCTAAATATGACCATAGACTCCAAAGCTTTAAACCCTCCCCTGACTCCCCAGGTGAAGTTGTGGCTTTGCCTGCCAGGTCTGGATGAAGGGAGCCTTTCTGACCACAAAGACCAGATTTCCATCTGTTACACCAGCTGCTAACACCCTCTGCTTCCCTCTCCCACTGTCTCCCTGTTGGTCCTTCTTCTTTGACTGGAGCACGTATTTGTCTAATGTCCGTCTCCCTTGCGGGACTGTGAGCTCTCCGCGGGGTGGGACCCTCTCTCTGTTGTTCCCCTCAC